AGATTCAAGTCAGTTTTATATATGTATGTTGGTAGATAATTATCCTTGAGAAGGATGTCATCAGCCACCTCTCATCACAGGTGTGCATTGTACATACACAGTCATCCAGTTAACCCATAATCCAATAACCAACTGATAAATCGCAGTCTCCTATTTATTTGTTGAAACAGCGTTTTTAATTAGTTACCAAGCTTTTTTCAGCCCTTTAAGTCAAAATTGACCTATTTAATTGTAAATTTTTCAAATTTAAATTTGTCTAAATATGCATAGAACATTTTGACAAGGTACTTGACGAACTTATAGTAAGAAAGATATGAAGACCAAGGTGGTCGCAGTCTCTTTTCGTTGTATAGAAGTTGTTTGACCTTATTTTCACCTTTCGCCGACTACGATATCGGTGAAAGGTCTGGGAAAGTACCACATCCACGGTCCGACTTTGGAAATGATCGTACATACAATGGACTCCGGACTAGTTGAGTTCCTCTAAGTCTTCCTAACAATGTGACAAAGTTGTGAAAACAAGGTCAAACAACTTTTATAGTAAGAAACCTTAGTCTAAAAATCCATATACCAGATTATAATAATAAACGAAATAGCAGCCAATTCAATGAAAATTTTAGCCTAAATTTCTACTAAATTTTTTTTTGAATGATATAGACATCAACGGTTTAATTACAAAAAATGATATTAGGATAAATATTTAGTAAAATGCAAGTATATAGCGAGATGCTGCAGGAAATAATTATGTAAATATATTTATAATTCATAATATGGACTAACCGATCGTTCCCTCTACAGTGACTTGGAGACGATGAACTCGATAAAGATGGAGGTGCAACACATTTGGGTCTGTAAAAGCAACTAGTTGGCAGTGGGGGCAATCGACTGGTTCACAATCTAACAAATCGTCACGACCATAGAGGACACTATCAAAGTCAGAATGATGTCTGAGGACAGCATGGCGACGCAAAGCAATGTACAAAGGATAAGCCAGACCACAAAGCTGAAACAAGTATTATGGGATTCTTTAATAGAAATGGACATAAACAATAAGGTAGTTCACAATTCTTAAACTAATAATTAGAATATTTAAGCATGAGACTGACCTGACATGGAAAGCATAGTTCGCCATTATGCTCGGCTTGAAGATGCTCATCGCGCTCTCGGAGACTCCCTAAAAGTGACTTGTCTCCACATATGGGACAGACAAATACTTTATTTGGATGACCAGCAGAACGTTTGAGGCCTCTTGGCGGAGGAGGTAGATCTAGAGGCACGTCAAATATGATTGGAGTAGGTATGATCGGTTTAGAGGTCGCAATAATATCTTGTGGGAGATTTTTATTAGGTGCAGGGGTGAGAGTCTCGACCTGCTTTATTTCAGGGTTCGATGACGTCATTGGGGAAGTTGTAGAAGTATTTGGTTGCTCGTTAATCAAAATATTTGGTGAGGCTCCCTGTTAACAAGGAATGCATGCAGAATTTAAGTTTGATATATGTATATATATATAAGATGATAGTTTGAACACTTTCAATCGGCACTTACGTCAAAGTGAGGAGATTCGCCATTCCTCTCCGGACTTTCGTCCATAAATCCTGGGGATGACTGAGACCTATCCACATTTCTTGTGTAAGGGTAAAGGCTTGAAAATAGCTGTTCTTTCCCCACAGATTCTCGAGTGAGCTGGCGAATGAGCTGATCCCTTGCACGCCCAGGAGTTCCAAGTATAAAAAGTGTGCTCTCAGAAAATCGTGTCAGGACAACCTGTCCACCCTGATAGATACACCGGCCCATATGGGCTTGCATTGAGGCAGGTGGGGATACAGAGCAGTTGGCGCGCAATACGAAGGTGCACCAATTACATCCAAGACAAGTGACTACACGATGTGGGACTTCGTCAAATCGCAAGTAGCCCAATGAAGCTGATAAATGTAAACAAAATGCAGGGAATTTAATTAAGTAAAAGTAAAGCATGGAGTATGGATAATAAACAAAGGTACGAAAAGCATTAATACTTTTATAAAACATTCCTCACCTGGAGTGGGCCACCAGTGTACCTGATGGTCCAAAATAATATGAGAGGCTAAAGCCTCAATTCGAGATGGAAACATTTTTAGACAATATGGACAAGATAGCGAGGCAACATTAGGATGGTCACATTGAAGGTGATAATTAAAATCACGATTTTGAAATGGCTGAGTGAGCGTATGATTGCCACTTCTTGGACAAAACGGACATCCGCGAAGATCACCGCCAATGGGCTCTATTTTGGAACAAGGGCATAATTCAATGTGTTGAATAAGTCCATCGTTTGAGGGAAAGCGAGCAGTACATTGCCAGCATTGCCAACACATTCCATCATCGACATCCGAGATTATTTTGGGTTCAATCTTGGATACTTTTGCCCGGAAAAAACTTTCATCTTCATCTAAAAGGAAGTACCTTGGTGGCCGTATCACACGTTTAGAAGAACTTAAGACCATGGCTTCTGATTTTAGTTGAGGCATATAAAGATAACAATCCCGAAGAGCTGAGAAGCCGACGAGAGCAAAACTATTGTATGCAAAATTATTTTTCTTTTTGGATGAATGCAATGATATGACTATCAAGAATAAAGACAGGACATTCAAAGGAAGGATGAATGTCAAGAAAGCTATTTGAGGTTTTAAAAGAGCTCGCCGAAATAAACAAAATGAAATGAGAATTTATTAGACCAGTTGTTTTTTACAGTAAAATATTTATTAAACATATTTGATATAAAATAATATACTATGA